TAACCGGATTTAAGATTACGAAAAATCAATTTAAGACAGAATTTCTCATAGCTTTAGTTTTAGTAATTGCCTAAACTGGTTAGAATACTAGAGTTGATATAATAGAGGGCTGTCAAACTCGTCATGCCCATACCATTTATGTCATGATACATCATGGCAGGACGTGAGTTTGACCCCCCTGATATAATAGATGAACTGATTTGTCTATGACAACAAAACTTGTTTTTAGAGGTGTATACAGGTGGTCCTCGAGTTACAACCACAATTGAGCCCAAAATTTATGTTGCTAAGTGAGACATTTGTTAATTTTGCCCCATTTTATGACCTTTCTTATCACAGTTGTTAAGTGAATCACTGCAATTGTTAGCAACACGGTTGTTAAGTGAATCTGGTTAAGTGAATCTGTCAGGTCGCAAAATCACATGACTCTGAATACTGCAACTGTCATAAATATGAATCAGTTGCCAAGCATCCACATTTTTATCACATGGCCATGAGGATGCTTGCAAGGGTTGTAAGTGTGAAAAACGGCCATAAATTACTTTTTTCAGTGCCACTGACCAATCACTAAATGAAGTGTTGTAAGTTGTAAGTTGTAGTAAGTTGAGGACTACCTGCATGCTGCTCAAATTGCTTACTAATAGCAGAACTAAAACTCTACAGCAGGCAGCAATTATTACCAATCTCCTGTGCTCCTGGGGACTGACTGAAGGAGAAAGCAATTTCCTCTTCTCTGCTGCTGATATTGGACAGATCTAAGCAACGTCTTGGTGTGTCCCTACAAATTATGAACAGGCAGGTAGATACACATGTACACACACACACACACACACTAGCAATGCACACTGAAATCCACAGAAATTACCATTACACCATTGAAATAGACATATTTGTTTTATTAGGATGAACACCCCTAGACAGTCTCATACATCAACTGACAGATTATATTTGAAAACTGTTTTCTACATTTTAATATATCTTGAGACGATAACATCTAGCCTAAGATGCTACTTAAGACTATTGATTGTATCAAAGCCAACATAGTCAAGTGTCACTGAAACCAATATAGAGAAGTCAGAAAATAGCTAAGTTTGTCTATATACAGTGAACTAAACCTTATGGCTCCCATATCAGATGTAAAACAGAACCCCAAAATGGAATTTTTAAAAATCATCTTCTTCTTCTCCAATTCAAAACTGCAATTTATTACTCTTTACCATTTCCTGCTGTTTAAATAGAGGATTCGTGAAAAGTCACCCTCTCTGACCATCTAAAATTGCTCTTGGGCTTGTTTAACAAGCAAGATTGCATACAGGATGAATTACAGGTAGTTCATAAACCGTCTTATCCAATTACCAAACTAAGTGCACTCATTTTCAAAGTTGGCATGTTATCTGAGCTTTATTATAAAGTAACTATAGTAACCCAATATGCACATTTGTTATACCTACTTATGTCTGGTGAAGACCTGGAGATCACTTATTCATGTTTTAACTATGTTTCTTTTCCTAAAACTAAATATATTATCTAAGGATGGATTTAGGAACTTTTATAAATTGACTGCCATAGTTCTTGGGCATACAGTATTCCTAGTATGATTGTTTAAAAAGAATTAAAATTTCAGATTAGCTTCCCAGCTAATTCTGTGCCATGCCTTTGGAAAAAAAGAAAATATTCCACCCCACATTATTGTATCAAACAGGAGAAAAAAAATTACCCTGCTAAAGTGCTAAGGTTTTGGAAATCCCAAGAGAGATTCAACACAGGAGTAAGAGGAGGTTCCGGAGTAAATGGCAGAGATATCTTGACATCCTTGATCATATTCAGTGCCATCCTGCAGCTAGAACTAAACAAAGGAACAATAATTTCTACAGGGGGATAATTTTCAAATCAGCTTTACTGATCGCCACTAAGGCACCACTTAAAACAGCAGTTTCCTTTTTTTATTTTTACAAGCCTGTCTCTTTATTATAATAATCACTATTTAAGAGCTCACAATCAGGTACCTCAAACTGAAACAAGCAGCAGCAAACTCTTGAGAGATTAGACTAGGAAGCTAGTAACAATCAGGCTAAAAAGATATATATCCAGTTCAACTTTTTAATTTTTTTCTTAAAAAAAATTATATATATATATATATACACATATACATACACATATACACACACACATATACACACACACACACACAGATGGCAGCAAATATACCCAATACCGCTTCCGCCTATTTCCCCCCACATCAACTCTACAAGATAATAAATTGGGCTGGGAAAGAATGATTGGTCAAAGTTACGCGGTTGCCTTCCTCTTAAAGAGAAATGAGCTTTGCATTTTTCAGACGGGATTTTGGATAACCAGCATCACCGGCTGGCTCACAAGCTAAAATACACCGCCTCCAAAACAAACTCAGGTTTATTCCCGCGTTAGCAGAGGGGCAGGAGAAAAAGATCGGCTGCGCCGCGGACAACCCAAGAAACCCCACCCCGATGGTTTCCGACTTGGACGTCCATCAGCCCACAACCCAGCACAGCGTGGCAAAGAACGGCCAAAGGACCTGGGAAGGTGCGGCAATAGCAGCACCTCTGCTGGCCCCTCCCTTCTTGTGAAATCCCTCCCTCCCCCGCCCCAAAATAAGGCGAGCTGAACATTCCACAGCACTTCAGAAATTAAAATTGATCGCCGCTGCGCCACCCAATCCCGATCACCTCTTTCTCTTTAACCGACCAACCCTCGAACTGCTCGAGCGAGAAGAGCCTCCGTCTCGGAGTCAACAGCTTTTTCATTGGCAAACCGACGGTCTTACGTCGACGGTGGCGCGAGCGGCTGATTGGATAGGAGGGCTTGGTAGGCGGGGTTTTCATGCACGTGTGTTATTGTCCGCGCTGTGTTGGTGAGATAGCGCCCGTGTTTCTTACTCTTCGCCCAGCCAATCACCGGACCGAGGGTCCGCCTCCTTTTTTCTTCCTACTCTGCGATAGGCCGGAGGTCTGCAAAAAGCCCCGCCCTCCCTGCTTACCGGAGGGAGATTTAAAGCCGCGTTTAATGCTGGCTATGAAGATTTTTTTGATTTTCTTTTTTTGGAGCGGGGCTTCTCCGGTTCTGGGGCCGATCATGCAATTTCCGAATTCTTTGTCGGACGTCTCGACTGCCGTAACTGGCCGGTAGTTGCCTTTAGATTTCGGGTGTTGGGTGGAGCTTCGTTTTAAACCGCCTTCTCCAGTTTTCTTATCTCCCTGAGTCGGTAAAGTGAGCGGGGTGGCGGCCGCTGAGACGGAGTGCAACCCCTGGCTTCCTAATTGGGGAACGTTACAGGTAGTCCTCAACTTACGACCACAGTTGAGCCCAAATTTTATGTTGCGGAAGTGAGTTTTGCCCCATTTTACGACTTTCCTTGCCACATTTGTTAAAGGAGTTGCAGCAGTTCTTAAATTCCTCATGTTGTTAAGTTAGTTGGTTTCCTCATTGACTTTGCTTGTCAGAAGGTTGCAAAAGGGTATTGTATGACTCTGACTGGGACCCTGAAATTGTCCTAAATGTGAGACAGTTGACAAGCATCCAAATATAAAGCATGTGACCATGGGGATGCTGCAGTGGTCATAAGTGTGAAAAACGGTCATAAGTCACTTTTTGGAGTGCCATTTGTAGCTTTGGGTGGTCACTAAATGAACTGTGGTAAGTCGAGGACTAACTGTATACTGTTTCATTAGATTAACTGTTGGAGTTGTGTTAGGTGATTGGGAACACTTGTCCAACAGAGTTTGCCTGTTTTCTTTTTTCTTTTTCTCCTATGACTCCTATGGATCAAGGGCTATGGGCCAATTTGTGAACCTATCCGTCTGAATGGCTAGAATGGGCAGGCATTTTTGAAGATTAAGTTTAGTCCTATATTGCAATGATAATTTTCCTTATCTGTTTTAATTTGCTTGGCCTGTCTGCTGGAAGAATTGCTGCATTTCAGCGAAGAACAATTTTCTGCAGTTGTGTTTGAAAGGAGCTTATAAGTAACAAAAACTGGGAAGAGAAGTTGCATTATTACCATAATAGGAGTCTACTGTTAGGATATTTCTTTGAAGTCTCAAAAAAAAAGCCCAAATCTTTTGGCTCTAGGTAAAACAGTTTATGTAGGCAAACAATTAGGAATGACTTATTCTAAGTGTGAGTGAACAAACAAATGTTTCTGCTGAATGTTATGATTTCAGTATTTGATGTTTCAGAAGTGTTTGAAAGTTTCTGAAGTTGGATTACTGTGTTGAGCTCAATGTTTCAAAGTCAGTTACTATCTACATAAATCTCAAAGGCCATGCTTTTTCAAATTCTGGAAAATTACACAGATGCTTGCTTGCTAAATCATCTATGAACTAGTCATGTTTTTGATGTTCAATGTAAAGTCAATAAAAAAGTTAAAAGATTAGATATTATTTTATTAGTTTTTAAATTCAGCAGTGTATCTCTGGAGGGATAGTTTAGATGTTTACAAATGGCTTTTTCCCATATACTGTAGCTCCCCATCTTAGCAACATGGATGGACAGAAGTGGAGCACGGGTATGAAGACAATTTGTTACTATATTCCAGAATATGTAATTACTTTGAGGGCAAAGATCTGCTTGCATGATGGACATTGCATTCTTCTGTGGATCAGTTGGAGGAAGTATAGATTGATTCATAATAATATTTCTGTTTTTATGGTGGCAGAAGTGAAGATAATTGTTTTGGATGTTTTGGAAAAGCTGTGGAAGGTTTTTCATTTAAATTACAATCTAATAGATTCTTGCCTAAATAGAAGGTGTGGTTCAAAATGAATTGTGGATTTTCATTCAGTAGATGAGCCCCTACATTAATATTTTTAATTCTCTAGTCAGAGTTGCCACATGCAGCAGTGACATTTTTGAGTGACGAATTACATAGCAGATCATGGCACTTTTAATATTTAGCCATTTCTACACAAAATTATTTGTGTTGAGTGCTTTTATGCCACTTCAATTGTGCTTTTTTTAAGACCATGAGAAGTCTGTAGGTAGAATATTCATTTAAGTATTTCCCCCCGCTGTTCATTCACTGTATTGAACATAATGTTTTTCCACTACATTTTGAAGTCAGTAGCCCAGTAAAGACCACTGGACTATGCTGTAAACTAGATTCACTGTGTTAAATAAAAAGTCTAAGCCTACTTGAGTATTCCAAGTGTGACGTATAGACAAAAAAAGCATGGGATAACAAAAGAAATAATACAATCCTCAACTTACGACCACAATTAAACCCAAATTTTCCATTGCTGAGCAAGAGAGTTATTAAATGAATTTTGTCCCATGTGAATCTCGATCCCCTGTTGATTTTGCTTGTCAGGTCGTAAAAGGGGATCACATGACCCCAAGACACAGCAACAGTCATAAATATATGTCTGTTGCCAAGCATCTGAATTTTGATCACATGACCACAGGGATGCTGCAACGATTGTCTGAAAAACTGTCATAACTCATTTTTTTCATGCCATTGTAACTTTGAAGGGTCACCAAATGAACTGTTAAGTTGAGAACTATCTATATATTAGAATCTGTTCTTGAGAAAGCCACAACTTTGCGTAGAACCTGCTTTTTTCCTTCCTCAAGCAGGTGTGTGTCTGCAGACATCTTTCTTGAATCCTCTAAACTTTCTTTTCTAAGGACTACTTTTCCAAAAATCCTTTAATGAAAAGGATCTAGAGACTGATATGCAGCAAAGAAGTTTCTGAATCAAAACATTAGTAGTAAGAAGGCCTCTAGACTTGATATGTAGTCGTGGAGGCTAAAAAGATAAATAAATGCAGCCCAGTGCTTTATTTGGGAGGGCATACATGTCTCCCCCAAGATAAGTTGGGGACAAAGCTAAGGAGCAGGTGAGAACAACCTCACCAGTTTACCCTTTAGTAAATATATTATTTTTACTGGCCATGAACCTCATAGATGCCATTTAATGATGGTTATCAACACTATGCTCAGAATTCCTACCAGTGTCTCAGAAAGAAATGAGCCCTGGTTTTAAATGATCTGAAATTAGAAAACATTTAATTCCAATGATCAGTTTTTACTGTTGATAATTTTTTTAAAGGCTTGATGCTTCAGTTGTTTTTCCAGAGAAAAAGATTATATATTGAGAGAGCTTTTACCATGAACTACTTCTTTATCTCTAATGTGTAGAAATCATTTTGTTACATTTTTACCACATTCTGTAAAAGTCTCACTTCATTTCTTTTACTCTGTGAATATTTGAAGAATAGTGACTTCTCAAATGGAAAGTTAAGATGCAAATGCATTGTGTCTCCATGTTCAGTATTCAAACTTTTTTTTTCTTCAAATAGGTCATTTCAAGTTTTCTCACCTGGAGTGAAAATGGTGAGTGTGGGGGTAGGTACAAGGTCAGATTGGGCGAGAAAATCCTGTCCAGGTTCTGGGTAAGTTTCATAATAGATATTTCTATAGTTTATTAAGTAATTGATATGTTTCTCTCTCTAGCATTTTTCCTTCCATTTGTAGAACTTATATAGAGACAGATGAGGCTGTCTTACGAAGAAGACAAAAGCAGATAGATTATGGGAAAAATACCATTGGTTACCAGCACTTTGTCCAACAGGTTCCCAGGTAAGCAGTAACTGTTATTTCTCTCTTGGTTTTTATTAGACCTCTACATATAGCAGAAGCTTGGGTGGGCTCCTACTTGTGGTCATCACTAGCAGTTCTCCTCAAAGTCCTATAATTTGGGCTGCTCATTTTAGAATCTGGTCTTGAGATAAAGACCCTTAAAAGACTTGCTTTAACAATTCTCTCTGTGCTCGTTCTTTGGGATACCTAGAGGTGCCTTTTCATTTCTCATGCTTCCTTCTAGGATGGCTCGCCAATCAGGTATTCATCCATGTACTCCAAATAAATATAAAAAGTACAGTCGTCGCTCGTGGGACATGCAGATTAAGCTTTGGCGAAGGGCACTTCATGATTGGGATCCACCTGGACATGAGAGGGAAGTATTTCTAATAATAAAAATGCTTCTCAACAAATCTGAGTGATTCACAATAATCAAATAAAACAACAAAAACAAAAATTACAATTAAAGCAATTAAAGCCAAAAGATGGCAAATGCATTGAAGCAAAGACCTGGATGAGTGTTTCAGGCTCTTCTAAACAACATCAGAGTACGGTCCCTCCAGATCTTGGGAACCTTGTTCTAGGGGGCATCTTAATTGAATTGGTGAAGCAGATGCTATGGCAGTCCCTCAAGTAACCAGCTCTACGACTTTTAAATATATGTAACAACCAGCATCTTGAATCAAACCCAGTTGCAAACTGGCAAATAGTGCAGCTTGCAAAGTAGAGATGTTATATGGGCATATAGAGGCATGCTTCATTCTGGACCAATTAGAGCTTTTGAGTGGTTTTCAAGAGCAGCCTCATGTAGAGCGTGTTGCTGAAGTCAAATCACAAGGTGACATGAGTATAAATGACTGTCTGAAGGGGCCCCCAATTTAGGAAACTGTGTAAGGGGTACGTACACCAGTTGGAGTTGTGCAAAATTCTTCCAGGCCACAGCTAACACTTGTTCATCAAGTAGGAGCTGTGAGTCCAGGAAGACCCTCAAATTTCTAATTTTGCTTATTTAGTTTGAACAGAAATGTTTAAAAGTAAATTAAGACACACCCAACCATATACTTCTCCAGTCAGATATTTAGCTATCAGAAACTTATTAATAAAATCCATCATTTGGCAGGTTTACTTTTAATTATAATTCTGTATTGTTAATAGCCACCTTTATTGTGCAATATTTACTGCCAGCAGCCTGGTGACCCACTTACAAAGTAATGCTCCCACACTATTTAGGAATTGCAGGCCTAATCTTCAGTCCATATGCTCTCTCCTTGGTGTTCCTTATCACCATGGAGACAGAGTTAATTGTCAACAGAGTTGTCATGCTCTTCAGTGAGACAAATGGTTCTGGTGCCCATTAAAGGCTGGGAGTATTTTGCACTATGTTAAGGTAGAAAATGAGAAGGATCATATATATGAGAAAAGAAGAAGTGAGTAAAATACCATTTTATATTTTCATTCCATTAATTTCCATGGGTTGCCTATATATTGGCTATGATTCTGTGGCAGAAGGTGGAAGCATTTCGGCTGACATCTTCAACTACTCCTATTACATTTTTCCAATGGGTTTTTATTTACATTCTAAGACAGGAGTATGGAACTTTTTGTGGGTTGAAGATTGAATTAGCTTAAAATGTTTTGAAGGGTCACATAGCAGTTGGCAAGGCCACAGTCCAAAGTGATTGGGTCGCCCTCTTTGCTCTCTAGGCTCTAAATGAGTTGTCAGCAAAAACCTAGACAGCTCTTTCTGGAGATCTAAACCGACTGTTAAGACAGACAACTGCAGATTGCTTTTTCTCAGTTTAGGCTCTAAAGCTATTTAATGCATTTGCTGCCTGGCTTAGTATGAACAACCTGCTCTGTTTTGCAAGGCAGGAGTTGGTGACCAAAATGGATCTTTTGTCTAATCTCCCAAACGACTGGTTTGAGGCTCGGTCTATTCAGGAAAATATTTGTAAAGAAGTCCTAGGAGAAGAGGTATTGGGATTTTGTTTAATTATATTCTATATGGCCTTATTTTGGAATAGTTAAATGACAAAAGGATTTGACAATGTGTGAACAAAATCATAACCTGTATTTAATGCTAAGCAGAGTTGAGCATTCCATATCTTTATGTGACATAAGATTTTAAGTATGGGATTAGTGTTATGGACATACACAAAACCTTCCTTTTTTAAAATGACATCTTCAGACCAGTCACTAACTTAGACAACTTATTTCATGTTATTGTTCTGCTCCCATAGATTTCTGGATTGTCGTCATCTGGCCATTTTTATCCGCTGTTTCAGGATACATTCTCCAACAGGGAACATTTCACGGAAGATACTGAAGACTGTCCATTTGATTCCTGGCTCTCGTTTTGTTCTCATGGGATCCCAATGCAGTCAATGATCTAAGAGAAAGAGCTAATTTCAAGGGGTTTTTGCCACTGTGGTCCACCTGTATTGTCACTCAGTTTGCTACAAAATCCATAATTTTGTAACAAGAGGAACTTCCATTTCTATATTTGATAGTTTTCTATATAATCATTATTTAGCTACAACACAAAGCATTTCCTATTGACTCTCCACTATTTATATTCCTATTATAAGTGTACAATATAAAGCAATTGATTGCTACTAAACTAAAGCATTATGGCTTGTTGGTTGCAGTAAAGAAATTGAGAATCAAAATTCTGAACCATGTACAGGTAATTAAATTGCTCGGAGCTCATGTTCTGTCACTAGGTTTGTTACTGGTTAATTCCTGTCTGCTTCACACATGCTCTGTGGTTGGATAAAATAACATGTTTTGTATTTGATTCCTAATTGACATTCTTTATTTGCTTGAATATGAATGTTACACTTGTATGGTGATGCATAGCAAAAAGTGTTAGGTTCATTATAAGAGTTAAGGGGTACAATTTGCATCTTTCCTTTTGGGTAAAAATGCTTTATTCCATTGCTGTTAAATCCGAATAAATGTGCCCTATGTAGGAATATTCAGAAAGCTTGTCTTATAGAAACTCTAGTGGACAGCAACAAACAACAGAATCATTGAAATATCTTTGCTTGTAGTATTGAATTTCATTTGCTTATTTAAAATGGCTTTAAGGGGGGGAAAAGAGGCACCTGGTCTTATACCATGTTTGTGGTTCACACAATGTACTGAGCAGAATCTCTTATTTTTGAATGAACTAGTGACCTGTGCATGCAAGTTAAAGTGTAATAAGTGGGTTCGAATAACACTAACCAAAATCACATTATTACAGTAGCAGTGAATACAGCCACTTTGTCAATCTTTAGACATGATGACAGTGTTAAGTTGTAATTCTAGAACTATATTCATATGATACATAGAACTAGAAATTAGCTCACCACATTTTAGCTGTGTAGATCTGCAAACTCAGCCCATGTGTTTAGTAGGTGGGTAGTAGAACACATTGATTGGGTTATGTTAACCACAAGTAAGCATGTGCTAATACAAGTTATGTACTCTTCTGAAAGTAAATATTTGCTTTATTGAAACTTAACCAATGTTGGAGTACATTATAATTATTCATTACACTCCTACAATCTGTCATACTTTGTTCCAATCATGGTAATAGTTGTTTATGTGTTTTATAAGTAGACTTAGAGATACTTTTTTTCTTTAATGGAAGGGACAACATTCAAGAGTAATAGTGGTTGTTGTGCAATTTCAGATAGGAATTAGATGTCTGGTAGAAAGCAAAGTACTCTCAACATGCTCATCAAGCTGTATTTTAGATATACAGTAATTTTAGCATAAAATATGAATTCGGAAATGTTATGCGTTTAATAAAACTGAGCAATCTCAGAATTTCAACCATGCCTGTGGCTCGGAAGAAATCCGAAGAACGAATTGCACCCCGTCATCCAAAGGTTGTCCATCCTAGTAAAACAAAAAAACAAAAACCCACCACATTGTACTACGTATCCCGTCATACTTTGCTACGTGGTATGGTCCATGGGGGGGGGGGGTGTACTTGTGGGGCCGTGAGTCCGCCTCGTAAAAGATGAAATCTTTTCATAGCCGGAGGGAGGCGTGTGTTATCTCCGGACGGATGCGTGAGTCTTCTTTCTGAAACTGCCTTCTCGATTGCCCGAGAGATTTGACCCCCCCTTCCGCCCCCCCCCCCACTGTTGTGTGGTTGGTTCGGCCCAAGCAGGTCGATCCACTCCTGACGGAAAGGGGAGCGGAGGCTCCTGGCGGGGGGCTGGGAGCCCGGGCCGCCGGGTGGGGGCGGCAGCTGGAAGACGAAGAGGGCCGGCCGGCAGCGGTTGCCAGTGCCTGCGAGTCCAGGAGGCAATCTCCCTTCAATTAGATGGTTGGTTCCAGCGGTGTTTAGAATAGGGAGTGGGGGGCGCATGAGACTATTGGGGCGCACTACTTCTCTGGCTGAGCCGCCGCGAGGTGTTGGAGCTGCCGCCCCCTCCAGCAGGCGTGAGGAGGGGGGGGAGGAGGAGGGATCGGGTGTTCGGTACGTGCCGAAGGGGCTGCAGAGCCTGAATGGGTAATGTGGGGAGAAGAGGCGTGGGGGTGGGGGGAGAGAGAGAGAGACTCTGGGCGTGAAGGGGGTAAAAGCAGCAGGCTAAGGTGGGATGGTCTTTGTGAGAGATGGGGGCTTGTGGACATGTTGTCATAAAAAAGGAAGTCGGGGTGGTTTTGTTTTTGTGCGGGAGGGGTGGGTGTTGATGGAGAGGGGAGAGGCAAGGTGGGGATTTCGGGCAAGGAGGTGGCTGTTGTCGCTAAGTGGGTGAATCTGTATGGGAATTTGGGGTGGAATGGAGGGCCTCGGTGGAGAAGTGGGGAGGAGGTGATTGGCTCCTTCAGAAGAGGGTGGAACAGGGCCTGCTTTGTTAAGAGACTGCGTCCCCTGTGGATGCATTTCTAAAACTAGGTTGATGGGACCCATTCTTAAAAGCAGTCGAATCACACTGCTTGCGATACAGTCTTGGCGTGGAGTCTTACTAGCATGTGTGTGTGTGTGTGTGTGTGTGTGTGTGTGTTGTAGCAGGGAACCCTGAGGTTGCTTAAGGCCTACCTCTTGATTTGTGCTTACTAAGTAGGTAATTATGTAATTGAAAGAACTGAATGAAATCAAATTACAGAGGCCGGGATGAGAAACCAACTGCAAAAGAAAATACTTTCTTTTAAGGGGGTTGGCATGCTCGGCTTTAATGTTAAAAAGGCATCAAGGAAAATGGCTTCATTTATCTGGAGCCTTTAAAGGCCCATGACCTGAAGCTATTAAAATAAGGAGGAGTACAGGAAGATGCAGTGTATAATTGCAGAACAGGAAATGAAGCAAAAGAATAATTTTGGCTAACAGTCCTGGAGAATAATCAGGAGGTGCTTTCCAGATAATACAAGATTTAAATTCTGCTTCTTGTTCCACGCTTCTTTTACATTATTTACTTGAGATCTGTGGAAGATTATTGTACATGTTTTAGCTGATTCTCACAATAGTCCTAGTAGTTAGTGTGGAAAGATACTGACTTATTCAAGGCCACCCAGTAGGCTCCCTGACTGAGCAGAGGTCTGAACTTCTTTCAGATGCAAATCTAGTATACTCTATTAACTGCTAAATGAATCAGGATTACAATTCTTGATTAAATTTAAAATAGAGCTAATGTAAATTGTCTCGATTGGCATCTAAGACACATTTAACCCAGAAAAAGTTGAGAAAATTTTATAAACACCTATGTATGGTAAGTGTAATGTTGATTTTAATGGTTATTTTAGTTAAGTGAAATGGAAAATGTAGGAATGTAGAGGAACGTTTCATTAACTTAAATGGATTTGCCCCAAAGTAAGCCTGGTTTTGCATAACTTGCTAGGATAAAATAAAGTGTGTGACTCTTTTTGCATTGTGCAAACCCAGCCAGTACTGTGTGTTTAATTTATTGGCTAGTGTGCTCTGTATACCCAGAGAGCTGGGTTAATTATGGGCTTGCATGTTGTGTGAACAAAGCCTCAATTTAATTTGTAATAGTAACTGAACTGTTGTAGGTATCTCTTTAAAATGTAAGATAAAAAGGTTTTTTTAGATAGCCCTCTTAATTCTTAATGAGTCTAATTTTTGAATATGCATTTTTATTGTTTCTACTTATTTAGCACCACTAACATATTCTACCTCTCTGAATTTCAAAAGCAAATATAAAAAAGGGGGTAGGTGTCCACCCTAAAAGACCTTAACATTTAAAGCAAGCAATGAAGAAGAGAATAAAACCAGGCGGTAAGAAGAGGAGGATGGAGAGACTGAATGTGAGCAAATCTACTTAAATTAGTAGGAGATTTCTAATAAAAGCCCTTTCTCCTTTGTACAGTATTTTTTTCTTTAGAATTCTATTTTTCTCTATCATTGCAATATTTAATCATTATTTACTTCAAAGGATAAGACTAGTAAATCTATGGAGCCCCTATCCCCCATGATAGCAAAAAGTTTTTTGTATCACTTTTATTATTAATATTTGAGCAGAAAGGATATAATGGAAGTTAAAGATACTAAAAATAATTAAGAAATGAAACAAAAAATAAAAGTATGGTTTTTTAAAAAAATAATTAGATCTTTCCTGTTTTTTTCTAATTTCTTTAAGATAGATGTTAGGCTGCCAACTATTTTAATCTGAAATAGTCACTTGTGATTGAATGATGAGTGAGTTATATTAATCCTTGGATAGTCATAATTGACTGAGTTTCTAAAATTAACCTATAAACCTATTTTGTTTTGACTTCAACTACAGTGTAAACCTAGCCATTATGATTTGTGAATTGTAATTTATAGCTTAGCACAAATAACTGTGGCTTAATCAACATATTATTCTTAAAGATGTTAGGACAGCATGATTTGTGAACTACCAGTAGATTATTCCATATATTGACAAAAATACTATTCTTCCTCAAAAGTAAGGTTTATTGAAATCAGCAAGTATGCTGATATCTATTGGATTGTACTACAAAGACTAGATTGGTTTCAATGAAAACCTGTTGCTATGTACTTAGACATAAGACACATTTAGCCAGTGTTATTTATAGGTAAAATGTGCATAGGATTTGAACTTTGTAATATTCAAAGTATTGTATAAACATTAATATGCTTTTCCTAAGAATGAATGAAACAAATAACTTGTTTCCTGCTACAGTTTAAAAATTGTTTTGCATATATATATATATATATATATATATATATATGTTGATAAACAAATATTACTGTTAATTTTCATTAACTTGTACAAAACAAAATGGTAAATTAGCAAGGAATTCCAAAAGCAAGTAAAGTATAATGAAAATTGAAGTAAATAATTTAATAAAATACAACATGAGAGATTGGTTAAACAAATGAAGAAAGGAATCTCAAACTGGGATAAAGGTGACAATGTTAAATAGTGACTGTAATTTATAATGCAATTTATTGAATGCTGAGCAATGCTGATAAGAAACAAGTCATGTGGACTATGAGACTGTTCATATTTTTGCATACAGTAATTAGTTTGGTTTCCTTATCATGAAGCATTGTATGCTTTGACATAATACATTTAAGAAGCTATTTATTTATTCATTGGATTATGTGGGTATCCATATAAAGTAACTCTGGACCGCTAACTATATTTATAGGAAATATGGTGGGGGCAGGAGGTCTGAGACCTTAAGGGTGGAGTGCTAAGAGCAAGGGCATATTACTACTGTGATAGTAGAGGAAGGGTATGCCTTGAGCAGGATGTTTTAGCAATAGCAATAGCACTTAGACTTATATGCCACTTCACGTTGCTTTACAGCCCTCTCTAAATGGTTTATAGAGTCAGCATATTGCCCCCCAACAATCTGGGTCCTCATTTTACCGACTTCGGAAGGATGGAAGGTTAAGTCAACCTTGAGCTAGTGAGAATTGAACTGCTGGCAGCTGGCAGTCAGCAGAAGTAGCCCGCAGTACTGCATTCTAACCACTGCGGCACCACGGCTCATTTTAGGAGAACATGAATTTTTCTACTCAATTACCTCTTCTACGGATATGGAAGACCAGATTACTTAACAACCTGGTCTAAGACTGCTGTTTGCGAATATCAGAAGCCTATATAATAAAACCACATTCCATATTAAGAGGTAGATGAATGTTTAGATTTGGCGTGATAATGATTCTGATTGGGCAAAGAAGGGTATGTAGTTCTATCTAAGATTTGCCCTCACTTTGAGTGCTTTTGTAACTATGAGTTCAAGGTTCAGGGGGTTGATGGTGGTGATGATCCTACAAGAGATCTTGTTTGTCACCAAATACCCCGCCTCACAAATTGAAGTTGACTTGTGGGGGCAAATTAGGTATACTGCTGGCATATTGTCCTCCCTCCTAAAATTAAAAGACTGGTATTCAATTGTTCCGCACTGGAGGAGCTGGTGGACTCTATAGTTTCCATGCTCTGGACATGTGATTTGGATGGGATCAGGAATTCATAGCTTCTTTTGCAACCATAGGCTTGTCTCAGACTCTTTTGGCCTGACTCATGTGGAAGAAGCCTTTACCTCAGGATAGATAAAGTATGAGCTAGAAACTAGAAGATACAGCGATCAATCCTTTACCTTGGTTAGATTCCTGTTTTGGAGACTGAGAGAGTATCCTTGAAGGAGCAAATCGTGGGGTTCTCCTGGACCTATGGTTCTTGGTTGATCAACAAGTAGAAATTATATTTTGGTCACTCACAGCTGGTATTCCAGTTTGCAGCCTTTTTGGGAGCACAAAAATTGGTTACAGTAACTCCTGCCCTTAGCACCTCAAGTGTAGTCTATTGCTCTGGAAAACTACTTGGAAGCTGCTCACTTGCTGATCTGCTCACTTGCTAACATATCAGAGTTGTTTTAGCATGGGATATTTATTTTGCAGGCTTGGCTTTGATTGCCACTAGGTTTCTGGATATAGTTTAATGTTTTGGTATTAAGCTTTAAAGTCTCGTGGATTTTGCCCCCTATATCTTAAGGAATGTCTCCTCCAAATAGAACCTGCTTTTATTTAAGCTGAGAGAGGATGGTTTGGATCCCTTTCTTCATTAGGAGTGAGGGGGTGGGAGCCTGGAGACAGGTCTTCTTATTGTCTGCCCCATTACAAGACAGTTAGCTTGTCCTCAGAAGACCTGACCACCCCCGCAATATCTATTTTGAGGAAGACGGTAAAGAGAATTTTATTTCAGTGAGCATTGGAAGAGTAGCTAATGATCATTTGAATGCCTTATTTTTGAGAGTTGGTTTTTACCATATTTATTTTTAATTTCCATTCCGTGTTCACTGCTTTTAACCAGAACTCTTTATAATATTTTGAATTTTATGGAGTTAGCACTTGTTTTAATTATTTTCATTCACTGTACCTGGTTCATTAGGGGCGAGATCTAAATACTGAAGAAAATATAATCTAGTTTCTTAGATTTGTATCACAAAATAAGCATTGAAACTTTGGAGGAGAGTCTGTTGAAACATTAAAAAAATGAAATTAAAAATGAAAATGATGGGTGATTTTAGACAGGCAGGCGGTTCAAATTCCCAGATAGCAAGAAACTCGTTGATGACTGTGTCAATCACTTCTACCGGTATCTACAGCATTTGAATATTTAGTGGGACTATGTGATATGTGTAAGTGAGTGTTAGCTTATATGGGATTTTAAACTGTGTTTTTTAAGTGTTTAAGACTTTTCCTTTGAATGATAAATTATGGTATTGTAAGTTTTCAGGAATCACAGTCAAAAGATTTTGAGTTTCTGCAAAAAAGTATTTAAGTAGCCTCATTCATCATTGAAGTTTTGGTACAAGATGTTGAGTCCTGCTTAAGAGGATAAGAGAATCATGGATGCTTCTGCTGACTGTTAGTTTATGCCCTGGGACTTTTTTGGGACAGAATACACATATACAGAACACACACACACACACACACACACACACACACACACACACACACACACATTTTTTAGTAAAAAGAAAGAAATACTATTTTGCAATCTGATTTGCTTGTCAGACTTTGCTTTCTCCCTGCGTATTGCAGCTAGGGATTAATACAAGGAAAAAAATAATGTGCACATTCAGGTTTTAAGGAACAGATCAGAATTGAACAAATAGGATGCATTAATATGTCTGTTTCCTGCAGGGATCAGGAGCATGACATGGAATTTGGCTAGATGGTGAATGAGCAGATATAGTAACTGATGATGATTAAATACAGCTGGACTTGCTGAGGAAGGCAGAAGACTGGCAAGTGCTGGAGTCTCAAGAAAATGCCAGGCGTTCCTAAGAAGCCATGATCACACTGATAACTGAGCAGCTACAAAAGCAGAGCTTGGAAAAATTGAAATGCATATCATTCAGCATCAACCTGGTATGATTTTTCTCATATATATATATATATAAGTTAACAAACCAGCTTTAGAATATAAGTTTGCAGTTCAAATAGATATTTTTATTTATCAGTCTAGGCGTCATGGTTTCATTTAGCAATATTTAACACACATGTATTTTATTGCTGTATTTTCCTTTTGCCTATTTTACCCTGGACTTATATCCTGTATTTTATTTTAATTTTATATTTTTAATATGGTCATAAGACTAACCAATAAACCATCCACTTAGCAATCGCTTTGCTTAACAACCAAGTTGCTGTCTCTGCTGTAGTTGCTAAATAAGGACTACCTGTAAGAACCAGTAGTATGCTAGATTCTGTAGAGGCAGAATGGGGTTTATTATGTAACTTACATCTTTGAAACTTTAGTTTTGTTTGTCAGGTAATCTGTGCTTCACTTCTGTAGCTTGAAAAAGCTAAAATAACTTCAGAAACTGCCAGTATCTTTGCAGTAGATATTTTTAAAGAGGCCATTATTCAGAGAGAGCAGGTATCAGTGACTGTGAAATTTTTCATGCTTACTTTATCCAACACCTCGTCAGGAGATACAGAACATTTTTAAAAGTAAATATGTGAAAGGATGGGTGAGAACCTGTAACCTGTATGCCTAAGTGTTTTTTTTTAAATACATATAAAGCTGAGATGGGCAACAGGTAGCTCAAAAAAAGAGTAATTAGCAACCTGTCATTCAACAACAGGGTATTTTCTTGCTGAAATAATTAAACTGAGTAGACCTGAAGCAGTTTTTGATCTTCTAGACACTTGCTTAGGCTATTTTACTTTTGAGATTATGGAATAACTAGTTTGATTTAATATTAAAAAAATCAATAGAAACATCATTAGGCACTTCCCTGCTCCACCCACCCCACATATTTGTATATTTATCAAACTACTAATGTCTGTTGGGATTAAATTTCATAGTGGTGGGTAATAGATTCTCTTCCTCTAGAAAAATATCATTGGTAGCCTGTTTAAGAACAGAAAGGCTATTTTATGTGTAGACATGATTAAGGTGTGGAATTTAATGCTGCATGATGATACCTACTACATAAATTATATGCTATAGGTAGCTGTAGTCACCAAAAAATGGAAGAATTTTGCTAAAATACTCTACTTACATTTTTTTTTTTACTTCTGGCTGGCCACTACTAAAATAAGTTCTGAAACACAAGTTTCTCTGCTTTGATTTAGCATAACAATTATATTGCATTTATGGGGAAAGCAGGCTGAATTTTATTAAATAGTAAGGATAAGAGATATTCTGTGAACTGGTAACAGAGTTCTTAAAATTATGGAGTTTGCAGAAGGAAAATTTCAGATAAGTATAAATTTGTTTATTTGGATCACATAATAAGCCTGTCATAAGTATTAGGAGTTTAGTTTGTTGCAACATCTTGTATTATTATATTCTCTTCTCACAAAATTAAGATGACATGATAGAATAAATTAGAAAAATTAGAAAAATGTGTGTTTATTTCAGGCCTTTCTCACCACCTGGTTTGTTTGCTGTTACCAGTGTTGCCATCACCTTCTGATGGTGCTACTTGCTTGTTCCTATCTTACAATATTCTGTTGCTTGAAAGAATAAATACCAAGTGTGTTGCTTCCATAGGATGACCGTTAAGCAAATATTTTGGTATAATAACTGCACATGTACATTGACAAGAATTGATGCCAGAACCATTCCATGCTAAATGTCTTAGGCTTCTAAATGCAGCCTTTATGGCAGAAGTATAGAAACTCAATTTATATGAAATTGCTTGTTTTCTAAGAGTTATTATTCATAAAATATATATGGTCACTGATATTAAACAACTCTGGACACATCACAGTGCAAAACAATAAAACAGTATGAATGGAAATGCAAAAAAGCAGTGAAATATAACATGCAGAATATGAAAGTCAAGGTATCTCACACCTAATCCTCAGTATCAAATTCACTAACATCAAGCTTCATTAACAACTTAGCCCTAATGCTTATATGAGAAAAAAAACTAGTTTTATTACAGCTTTCCTTAAGGCCAACGAGGTCAGTACCATCCTTACTTCTAAGGGGAAGTTGTTCCACTGTACAGACATGGCAACAGAAAAGAAATGTCTGCCTAATGAATCTATTTCACTAAAGGGATCCAGTGCATGCTTGCCCTGCCAGATCTGGTGAGATGGGCACAAATGAATGGAAACAGGCAGCTCGCATGTGGTCTGGCCTTGTGCCATGTAGAGCTTTAAAGGTGATAGCCCGCACTTTGAATTGCACCTGGAAGAATCCTGGGAACACTAATACAGCTCACACATCTGAAGTGTTACATGGGCAAACTTTGGTACACACAATACTATGCATGCTGGTATATTATAGATCAGCTGAAACTCATGTACAGCATGTTGCAACAAGACAGAGGATGCTAAAGCATGAGTACCTGTGAGCAGAGCCACTCTAGCAACAGTGCAACTGGAGGATAAGATGAACCAGGGTAAAGACAGTCCTGTTCTCCCACCAATTTTAAGCTTGTGTAAATGTCGTCTTATCTTAATTTCCAGTCATCCTAATTATTTAATGTAAAGCATTTCTAGGTCTGTACTTTTCCCATGTTTTTTTTTCTTAATAGGGGCAGAAACAGCTGTACAAAGAAATTCCCTCCACAGACTATCCTTGTAACCTAAGGAGAGCTGAGCTGACTTGAAAAACCAAGGATAATATGCTCCTATATCAAAACATAAATTAAAAGGGAGTGATTCAGTGGAATATGAAGCATGTGCTTCCTGATTCTTTTTAGGTCTGGAGTCCATGGTGAACGTGCCTGGAAATTAATACATTATAGCAGCACAAAGTCCCTGCAGGTGCAGCCAGGAATAGAACTTATCTTTTCCATCCAGAAGTTTGAACACTGAGGTGTAGACTTCCAAGAATGGGATGTGGCCTAATGAAGCTTTTGCAGGAAAGGTACAATCACGTTTGTTCTTGTAATGTTCTTTGAGTAGATGAAGCTATGCGACAGAAAACTAGTGATCTGGAATGGAAAATATACCCCAGTAATGTGGCTATATGTTAGTCTGTCAGCATTTGAAAGCAAACCATTACGGGATGGGGAGGGATAAAGATGCCATAAATGGGCCTTTCCACTAATTTTCTGCTGGACATGAAATTCAGTCGGGCATATTTTGTCATGGTTAAAGATTTTTGAAGATATTAGAATGTAGATAATCTGGTAAGTCATATTTCAGAAAATTATCTTAAAACTGCTCATTTTCTCAATAATAGAGCTTTCATACAGATAAATAATTAACATTATATTGTCATTGATTCAGAGAGCTTTTGAAAAATTGGAAAAAATACAAAAAATAAAAATGGAATCCAACTAAACAAGTACCGTAAATTAATTTCATGGATAAAATGTAAAAGTTTTTTTTTCCACTGGCATTTTCACATTTCCCGTGGGGGTGGGGTAGGGAAGTATCTTTAAAATTTTAATCTAAAATGGGCAAAGCATAAATGGAAAATTTTAAAACTGTCAAATATCATAGTTATTAGTCTAGGGTTGACAGCGTGGTGTAGAAGTCTAGTGATCAAGCTTGAGTAAATCATAGTTTCTGATTGATTATTTTATCCCAACTATCTCAGCTTTCAGTTTATTTGAAATGCTAGAAAGATTCCCTTAGGGTAAAACTTAAATGTTGTATACTTAGAGAGAATGCTGTAAGAATTGGGAAGCGGGCATCATATTTTAATGCTGTTAGAATGGTGGGAATTGCAGAACTAAACCTGTTTATAAAGTGCTGGTCCTTGCTGTGATATGGTGATTTTTTGTGTTTCCCTTCCTAGCCTTTGCCCGATCATGCTAATGTGGCCAGCTGTGGCAGCCCCTTCCAGATAACGCCTGGTAAGAACATCTGGCTGGACTTCCACTCTTTGTGCCTACATCTCTTGTCTTCTTTTTCTTCTTATGTTTTCTACATGAAGCACATAGTTAACAAGATAAACTTACTTTCTGGTCTTCTTGTGTAGGCTATATATTTGAAATACGGTTACCCTTCTTAAATGAACCTTTGGTCAAAATAGCAAATGTTCATTTTTAATCAGTAAGATAAAAGCTGGAATGTTTAAATAGTAACAGTGATTACTCTTTTCAGGCAATCTGTAGAGGAGGAAAATGTTTTAAAAATTTAATAGGTTTTAAATTGTAGGTTTCTTATTTCTGTATGTATGTACTGGAAGTTCTCAATAGTTTCATGTTGCAGTATCCATATTAGCTGCTTCCGATGGTAAATGCATAACTTGAATAAATAGTTCCAATGGTTTTCTTACGTAAGAATTTTAGGATATATAATATAATAAAACTCTTTCTAAAAACTGGCTCTAGCAAAAAAGTAAAAACCTATTGCGATGAATAATTTTAAAGGGACTTTAATAGTCAATAGTATTACAAGCTTAATACATAAATAGAGCAATTTTAGCATGCAGTGTAAGAAATTCAAGGTGAATAAATTAAAGCATATATTCTAACATTTAAAATTAATATGCTACCACTCTTATTACAAATAGAATGTTGGAATAATATTGCTTATAAAGTCATATTTTAAGTTATATATATTACAGGATTCCTAAATGGCCCTTAAAATAAAGCAACCTTTGTTCCTGAAATTGGCTCCTGAATAAAATAGCTTTTATTTTTAAAAGTAAGACTTTAATTTGCTGTATGATTTATTTTTTTATTGTTTAGTCACTAAGACATGCCCAATTCCTTTTGGGCACATTTTATACAAGAGAGAAAGGAAATGCGGTTTCCCAAAATGAATCATTCCTGTAATTGTTCTGAACATCTTGCGACTATATTATATAGTTATTACCATATATTGCACAGCAATTTGCCTTAAAACACCATTATATTGTAAACATTTGGAATTGGAATAGTTTATATATAAATGTTTTAATGCATTGGCTGAAAATATTGTTTAAAGTAATAAGTGCCATAATGTTTACTTTTCTCATTAGCAAGTTCCTGGATAGTTTGTAAAACATAAAATTTGGCATTAAACCTGTTCATTTACTTATTGTATAGATTATTACTGGCCTGTCAGAATTTGAATCTAACTCAGGGATCTTGTTTCTTCTACAAAATGTTACTTCTCAAATTAAGAAAAACTAAAGGCATACGTCTTTAGAGTTCTATAATATCTATTGCTTATGCTACTATATATTAACTATGATGTTAAAGCTTATTATTTAATATGGCTATCATTCTGTTGGTCTTGCAGATAATGATTCTTCTCCCTTCTGTCTTGTCTAAAATAATAATTTTATGTTTCACAATCTATCTGGTGTTTGCTATCTGGTGTCTGTTCCTTACACTATAGATTAGTTCCCTTAATTGCATGTCCAAACCTAACATAAATATTTTTACTTGTGGGTGGAAGTTTTTGGCTCAAATAATCAATATTGATTTTTAGCTATTTTGAGAAAGCCAAATGTCATATATATAAAAACAGATAACTCTTAAGAGTTTCTTCTCTGTGTTTACTTCATAGCTGCATGTATTTTTAACTTGTACTTCACCCATTTGATGATTTTCACGAGTAATTCTGGCTGTTTTTGCAGTTACACGCAGGGTGTTGGGCAAAGGAATCTTAATAGAATTTAAAAAGTATGTTTTTTGCCTTTCTTTTCTAAAGATATGACTAGGAAGGAAGTAGCAGTATTATAATCCAGTAGTTGCATTAAATGTATTTTTCCATATAGATGGAAGAGAACAATAGAAAACATATCCTCAGGAATGCTAAACATTTGAAAACAGGAAGTTTTTAAATAAACCAAAAGTGTGTTTTACGTTGTTCAGTCAGTTCTCTCTCTCTTTAATTTCTCCAGTAGAAATAAATAAAAGTGATAGTGTCTATTCCCCCCCCCCCCGCCTTTTTAACATCCAACTATAAATGGAATGCAACAATGTTTGTTTATTCATGTCAGAAGCATCACAATTAAAATAAGGCATAAGACATAAAATTTAAAATCTATGATATAAAATACAACATTAAAGTACCGGTATTAAACAGATCCTGCCTAGAAACTAGCAACATTAATTGCATTCTGTCGTGCTGTCATGAGGTCCTCAAGTGTACATTGATCAGGACACAAAGGAAAGGTTAACATATGTGTTGTTGTCTGCATGTCACCACAATTGAAAAAGGGCAAAAGTTATCGGATACTGCCATTTGTTCAAGTATCTCTGGATCTTGTTACACTTGTGCACAGTCTGTTCAGTGTTTTCCATCCTTCCCAGGCCCAGGTTCCAGCTCCCCCGATGAATCCATCCAAGTGTTGGTTCTCTGTAGCTTTTCATAGGTCCTCTCTGCTTTTAAATTCTTTGAAGTCTTCCATTGATCTAAGGAAGCCTTTTCTAGATTTTAAACTCCAATTAGCTGATTTGCAGGCCGTAGAGAAGATGTTGTCTAGACATAGATGATGTAAACCTCTGTCTGTATGCTGCTTCTTCTCTATGAAAATGTGATTTTCTCCAAGAAGCATTATTCTTTCTTTGATTCATAAACATCTCCTTTTCCAGTACAGTAAGAAATAATCACATCCTTAATTCAGAAACCTTTTATTTATCTGCCATTATCATCATTAAGGGACTAGAAAGAACCAGATTGTGAATATTTGTCTGGAGAATTAAGTTAAACATTTTAATGGAGGTAAGGAAGAGTAATTAAATTTAGATCATTTATGAGTTAATGTACTAAGCAGTTCTTTATAGTTGTTGTTAAAATATATATTTAAAATGTTTAAAGGAGTAGGCTGGAAAGTGTTCCAACTTCATGTGAGGAATCCAGTATCTTTTTGTTAAATTGCATGTCATGTTAAATTGCATGTCATAGAATATTTAACTAAGTTGATCTGGATGACAGCTACGCCTCTCAACTTAAATTTCTTATGTTATTCTTTACAGAGGGGACTTCATGGAGGGACCTAGCTCCCTGTCCAAAGATCCATCTCCAAGACAACACAGTTCCTTACCAACAGTCCAGCCTAAGCCTTCCCTTGCCAACTTGCAGCCCAGAAAACAGCCCTCTGAACAATCTTGCATCCCAAGCACTGGCCACCAACTCTTTAGTTTCAGAAAAAGTTTCTGTGCCCCCTACCAAAAGACACTGTCGTTCACTCTCAGTGCCCGAAGACCTTTCCCGCTGGCAAGCTGTCTGGAGACCCCTGGGCTCCAAAGTGTGGACACATATCAAACGTCGGGAGACCAGTGGAGTGGACACTTTAGCAGTACAATCCCAGAACCTGGTTCAGGAAGCCAACAGACTTTGCTTCAATCCAGTCCCCAGTGCCTCTTATCAGTGTGTTCAAGATGGTGCTGTTGGTGGCAGGAGCCCACCGTTTTTCAGTCTGGCTCTGTCTCGAGAATCGCCAGCAAGCGTACCATGGGAGGCTGGAGAGACATTGCAGCCCTACCCTCTGCAACGCCGTTTCTCTCTGTCACCGGTCAGATTCTTGCCATCCCCGCAGAGCTCTACCACTTCCACACCAGAGCTCCTTCGGCACCAGCACAGCCTCCCTCGCAGCCGCTCACAGCCTTGTGACTTGGACACCAGGAAATGTGGTCTCAAGCGGCGCCATGAAGAGGATGTGAGGTGGCATCGGCCCTCACTTGATTTCTACAAGATGAATCAGGTAAGAAAGGAAGCATCATTTGATGTTGATCGAAACCTCCCTGTAAAATCAGTGAAAAGGTGAAGTGAAAGGGAAGTAAAAAAACTGAAAAATCACTGAAATAAAATTGGATTGTTCTGGGGAGCAAAACACATTACATTCATCAATTATATGGCACTAAGCAATGTGTTAAAATGAGTACAACCCACTCTGGAAAACATTGGGGGTTATCTACAGGTAGTCCTCGATTTATAACTAATTGAGCTTGCAAATACGGTTGCAAGTTTTGCCGATCATTAAGTGGGTCATCACGTGATCAACCCATTTTACAATATTTTTTGCAGTGGTTAAATGAATCCACGGTGGTTAAGCAAACTTATTGTCTACAATGGGTGTTGTTTGCCGGAACCCAGAAGTTAAATGCTGGTTTCCAGGGGGGGAAAAAACACTAACTTGCAGTCACATGACCAATTGCAGACTACATGACTGTAAAATGCAGTCACACGGCTGCAAACGGCCATACATGTGGGCCAATTGCTAAGCCCAAAATGTGACCAAGGGAAGAAGCCGGGCTGTCTTCAAATCTGGATCATAAGTGACTTTTGGGGGCTATCGTAACTTTGGAAGAGTCACTAAGCAACCAGTCGCAAGTTGAGGACTACCTGTATATTGCACCCAACAAAATTCATAAACTTACAACAATTTGTTTTGTGACCATTTGAAGATATTATGGCGCTGAAAAAAGTCACTTGTGATTGGTCCTTGCAGTTATGACTGCTGCAGCATCCCTATAGTCATGTGATCATGATGTGGCCATTTGGCAACCAACACACATTTATAATGGTTGCAACATCCTGTAGTCACTTGCCATCTGCGACCTTCCCAACCAATCACTTGGGAAGCTGACGTGGAAGGTCACAAGTTGCAGTCATGATTGTCAGGGCAAAAAAGATAAAATCGTGTTCCGTCACATGATGCCTCACTTAATGATTGCACCACTAAATTTTAGATAGCTAAATTTTTGGTCCCTATTGTGGTTGCAAATTGAGGACTTTGCTCCATGGATATTTATTAGAAATGGCAGACCAGATCTTATATAACACAGATCCTTCCAAAGAGGAGACTTGCATTGGCAGTTATATTGAAATAATTTTGAGGGGTCCTTAGTGTTCTCTGAGCTTGGTTGTTTACATGCAGATAAACTGGGTAATATCATCAGTGAAATAATCTTGTCTTGATGAATGCTGGGATTTATAATGACCTGTATTAGTAGGATATTAATTTATTGTTAGAAGAGTCAATGGTTATTTGAAACCATTCATGAGTAAGGAGAATTAGAGCCAAATAGCTGAAGACAGTTCACAGTATTCTTCATACTTAGAACAAAGCATTCCACTATAGGTCCTGTTTTTTCTTCTTTTGAATTCACTAGCAAAAAATTACCCAATGATCCTTGATGGAAAAATCCTGATTTTTTTTTTCCAGATTAGTCCACAGGTGGGTCCCCTTTTAAACAATGGTAATTGAACTGGAATTTGTCATGAAGGATGTGGTTGTAAAGTGGAATGTCACAGGACCGTGTTGCTTAGCAACAGAGATCCTGGTAGTCCCTAATTGCTGTTAAGTCAGGATCTCCTCACTACTTTCTGTCAGCTTCCAACAAGCAAAGTAAGTGGGAAGCTGACAAAAAGTTGCAAATCCCAGGTGGTTTGCAAACAGTGGATGGGTGGCTGATGCGGTGCATTCAAGGGCAGGGTGAGTGCTCTGGATCAGGGGTCTCCAACCATGGCAACTTTAAGCCTGGAGGACTTCAACTCTGAGAATTCTGGGAGTTGAAGTCTGTCAGCCTTAAAGTTGCCAAGGTTGGAGATCCCTGCTTTAGATAGAACATAGGTGGCTGTTGCAGCTCAATGTAGGCATGGCAGAACATAGTGTGGGATCGGTGCCCTGGAGGGCACAATACATAAGTGGCTGCTGCAGCTCAGCACAAGTGTGGCTAGGTGCGGATGGGTACTGCAGAATTGGGAGAAAGTAACAGAAGCCATTCCTGCTGGCTTCCCCATTGAGTTTGATTGTGAGAAGTTGACGGGGAAGGTCACAAGTGGTGATCATGTGGGTACTGGGACAAAATGGAACTTCAAGGATTGATCGTAAGTACCACTCATTCATTGCCATTATACCTTTGAACAACTGGTTGTTAGTTTATCTGTAATGCAATCTATAGTCAGAGGTTGGAGAAACCGTAGATAAAATTACTATGATAAAACAATAAAGATAGCTTAGAAGTAGTAGAGATGTCAATAGAACAATTGGTTATATATATCTAGAATGTTTTAGAAAGTACTACTTTGCCATAGACTTGTCAGATTTGGTTTGTTAATGAAAGCAGTTTTTGGACATTCATGTCTGTATCCCAGCCAAGCCGGACACTTAAAATGTCTCTAGTCATAATAGCAGCTTCTTATATAATAATGCAATTTTGATAATGATATTTAATTTCTGGAACTGAGCAATCACTATAGTAAGTCATACTAGTGTTCCAATTCACCTAACCATGTGTATGCCTACAAGTTGACATTAGAACACAAGATAAACGTGTTGAAATACACATTTCTTTATTTTTTTTGACAGAAACCATTTGCAGGGGAAGTCTGTCAGTTAGACAAATCTGAGGAAAGTGGCTATCCATCATGGCTCTTGACTTGCAGCCCACAATCACCCTCAGCTCCTTGCAGTCCCATTAATAATTGTATCCAGGTGCTCAGTGAAAGCGAAGAAGATGATGAAGAAGAAGCAGCAGCAGTACAAGCAGCAAGACAAATAAATTGGAATTTAGCAAGCAAAAGGACACTCTTCCAACCAGACTTCAGTGATCTGGATCTAACTTTGATTGAAGAGAACTAGCATTTTGGATGTCTCCTTGAAAAACTGACTTTGGAGTCAGCAGCAAAGGGGAGGCTGCACTCCTGGATGAGGGTGGGGGAGCGGGGTGGGGGTAGAAGGGAAAGTGGAGGTAGGATAACGGGGTTTTGTCTGCTTGTTTCTTTTGTATTAAAAGAGAAAATAAAAAGAAATTACTAAAGGGAGTCGTATGTCTCTAAGATGGGATGATAAAGCCTGTCAAACATGAGACAGGAAGAAAACCTTGTCAGCAATTTGACAAATTTGCTTTTCTTGGCAAGCTTTTTGGTCTGTCCCAGATCACAACACTCAAAAGAGACCTTTATTTTAAAAAAAGAAAATATGATATATACTTAATAAAGTCCTACATATAAGCATAACAATATAATTGATTGATTTTTTAAAATTAAAAATACAGTGATACAGTAATTTGAAATGTTATAATCCTGTCAAGTGTTTTTACTGGATGAATCATCATCCACATTACTTGTCAGCTTAGAATTCTAATCTACAGCCTAATATAGGAAGATATAGAAAAGCAGCAAAATTTTAACTCAACACCGCATAGACATTTGTTTTTCTCAATGAAGAATTTTTCCAAAAGCAAGCATTTTACCCTTAGCTTTTGAATTCAAGAAATATCCTGTTGTCTGACTATAAAGCTTTATTTCACTCCATTGAAAAGAATTAACATTTTCCTGTTTGCCAGACATACAAAAATGTACATGAGAACAGTTTTTTGAATGATGCTGTATGTTATCTCTCAAACCTGTGGTTTCATTATTGAAAGAAAAGGAATGAAGACAAAATGTATTTTAATACACTCCTTTGCATGAAATGTATATTATACATTTTATTTAATTTAATAAGTGGGGAAAAACTACATATGCTCTTACAAGATTACTATGCAGAAATTCAGTAAATTCAAATTTTCCTCTAGCTGGCACAGCCCTGTGAGCCCCAGTGCCCTATTAATATTTTTCAAACTAATATCGCTTATCACCCACAAAAATAAAACACCGGATTCTTACTCAAGATAAAATTAAATGAAGAAAAGAAAAGCAGAAGGTAAAGTATCGCTGATATTGTGCTGACATCACCAGATATTACTGATCATTTCCCACGGAATCCGCATTTATTACGACTCGGGAGCGGACCGGAAGCGTGGGAAACTTTCAGAAGCGACTCTATGGTTGCCGAGCCCGATATGCTCTCGTCGGGCCTGTGTGCCGGGAAATCTTGTTTTCCGAGGCCTCAGCCCAGCCCTTCCGTTTCCGTTTCGGAGGCCGGTGAGGGGAGGGGGGAAGGGCAGCGGCGGGGAAGAGACAACCGGAGGAGGAGGAGGCGGCGGCAGCGGGCAGCGGCGGCGGGAATCCTGCGGCTCGTCGGGCCAGCCGGCCTGGCTCTTTTTCCCGCTCCCCGGCCCCACACCCCCTCAGACTTAGGAGGCCCAGGCCGCCTCCGCCGCCAGCTCTCGGCGGGAGACGACTTCGCGTGTTCCGCTCACCCAGCCAGCTATCGGCTTTCGTAGATCTCGTTTAGTCCTTCCCGCCTCGCTGCCCGCGCCCCGGCTCAGAGCCGCCCCCAGGCCCGTCTCCGGTGAGTCCCATGGACAGACACAAAGTGAAGCGCCAGAGGCTGGACCGCATTTGCGAAGGTAAAACACAAAAAACAAAAACTTCCCGAGCTCCGGAAGGGAGGGATGGCGGGCAAGAACCGGGCGGCAAGAAAGTCTCCCAATGTCGGGAAGCTGCGGGACGATTCGGGGACCTCGTGTCCCCGGTCTTCCCTCCACGTGGTGTTGTGACAGAAGGCTGCTCGTGGAAGTGTTTGCGCCCGCCCGCCTGCCTCTGCCGTGAGGCGTTGGGAGCTCCTCGAGTTACGGCCCTGCCCGTAGACCGAGAAGCCCAGATTACACCGCCAGTCGCGACCCCTTACTTAAAAGCCGCGGTCTGTATCGCCTTTCCTTGGTGGAGACCACTATCTCAGCCCTTGTGGTACCCCATGAACCCGGGTAGCCTTAGGATCCCCACTTTGACAGAAGGGAGGGGAAAAGGTCTAATAGTGGGTTTTTTTTTTAAAGATGTCCAAGTATGTGAAGTGTCTCTTGCAAAAGATACCATAGATAATAATTATTTGCCATTCAAAAGCAGAAAAGTATGCTTTCTCTATTCATGTGTACCCTCTGGTTTCTTGCATGTTGTTACAATGTGTCAAAAAACTTTAGCCTTTCACCCTTTTAATCGAAACCAGTTTTCTGCTGTCTAAGAAGCACATTTGAATTGTCTGTACACTTTTATCCTTCACCTTCTTGTATTAAGTAGTAGGAATTGAGGACCAGTTGTTGTATTTTTTTTTGCGGGATATTACTTATTATATTTTTATATTATATATACTTAAATTATATTTTATGACACCTAACTCAAGTTTTCCGGGCAGATTATGAAGCTGTTTATACACACCACAGCCCCATGTAATAATAATAGGATAAAAGCTAATAAAATTGCCCCTGAACTAAATCAAAAATAAATAATTTAAAGGAAGCAAATAGTTGCATATAAGTTAGTCTTGCTTTGAGCTGAAGCCTAAATGATGCTAGGGAATGATAGATACATAGAGATGTATGGCATTAAGTTTTGCTCAATTTAGTGTTGTTTACTTCATACAGAAGATAATAATTACACTTGTCCTTTACGATATTGAGAGAAAGCCATTAGTGAACACAGGTGATTCAGGTTCCTCCCATCTAGAAGAGCAAGCTCTTCTGATTCTAACTTCAGACTTTTATGCCTAATGAATGCCTTCTTCTTTGGGTGCTTCTTTGGAACAGAAAAGCAACATGCCAAAGTGTCTGAACTTCCCAATTATTTTCTGTCCAGCTAACAAAGCCAGCCAGAACTTTTTGACGCTTGCTCTGAGAATTATTTCATTAATAGCCAGAGATTAGAAGGGTTTTTTTTTACTTTATTTGGGTTTCAAATTATATTAATTGCATATAAACTTATGATATATTTAGTTGGATTAACATATCACACTTACCTGAGGTTTGCTAAATCATGGTTCATTGCATAAATACAATTGGCTAGCGATAGAAGAGAATATTTGTAGCCAAGGGTTGAACTGAGGGGTCCTTGGTGTCCTTTGAGCTTGGTTACTTTTTTGCAGACATTTTACTACCAAACTAGGTGACATCATCAATGTCTCACTTGTCCGTAGTGCGTGTCCAGCTGACACAATGTTAGTGTTACAGTTGGCTACGCTTATAGACTTACAAATTCATAATCATTTTACTTTACATTACACACATATCTTCCTAAAGCAAAACCAATGTGTTGTAACTTAATGAGAACTATGGATTCAATTTCCATCTTTGAGTTATATCATCGTTGGGAAAACTAGTATTGTATCTTGAAAGTATTGTGAGTGAATAATGCTATTTTCTTTTGTAGGCATAAGGCCTCCTATTGGTAATGGTCCAATGCCAGCTCGTCCATTGGTTGCCCTCCTTGATGGTAGGGATTGCACTGTAGAAATGCCTATCCTGAAAGATGTTGCCACAGTGGCTTTCTGTGATGCACAATCAACTCAGGAAATCCATGAAAAGGTAAGTGTGTTTTTTTTTAAAAAGGGGAGGAGGGAAATTTCACTTTCCAATGAAAAATGAGTCGGTTCCAGAATTCATAAATTCTGCTTTGAGAGCTAGCCATTATTTGTAGTTGCTTTCCACCCTCATTTTAAACCAAATTCTATGGAAACCAATGGGAACTTAAAAGAACTCAGAAGGAGTGGTCCTTTTCTAGCAGATTTTGCAGAAAATGCATACTTCACTTTGCTACTCTGCTTAAGTATGAAAGGCCAGTGGGAAGGGAGTGAAACCCTTCTTTTTCTCTCTTCTGTGAATTTAAAAGGACGTGAAGGAAAAGAGTGATGGTGTTTGTCCTTTTGTAGAAGCAATTATATTCTCTTTCTGTCTTTCACATTCCATTCCTTCCTTGGAGTACTTTGCAGTTCATTGAACAGCAAATAAAGCGTCAATCAGAAGTGGAAAGCTGAATAATAAGTGAGGTTGTGGAATCCTGAGCTCACTAGTTCTAATGCTATGAAGTAAGCATTCTTCTGTTGTTCTGTCTTCCTCTAGGTTCTAAATGAAGCTGTTGGGGCTCTGATGTACCACACCATTACCTTGTCGCGCCAGGACCTGGAGAAGTTCAAAGCTCTCCGGGTCATTGTGCGAATTGGCAGTGGCTATGACAATGTGGATATCAAGTCAGCTGCAGAATTAGGTATGGTGATCACAGTGCAATTTTTTAAAAAAAGGAATATTGGAGAGTGGGTGTGTAGGGAGTATATCTTTCTTCTATATTCAGTTTTGGGGTTTGGGCGGAAATTTACCAAAATTCAAATTTCTGAGAGGCAAGTGGAATATTTCCTATTAAGAAAAATTTGCAAAAATAAATTTACATTGTTTTCATAAGAATATTAATTGTTTTAAGCTATTCTTATATTGGAAATAGAGAACTGAAAAATAGTTACTTGGCTAAAAACCCATAAGTATCGCTTGAAACCCATAAGTATGATATGCTTTTGCATAAATATAAATGGAGCCCATATATTGTCTATCCAGTTTCTTTAGGCATGTGATTGGTTGCTTTCTTTGTTTGAAAGCAGTAGTGCAACTCTTCGGTCTTAAAATCTTTTTATTTTCTGATAATTCATGTGGATTTATATTATTGTTTTAAACAAATACATATTGAAATGAGATCTAAATTATTCATATAAACTGGGTTTATTAAATTCAGATAATTGAATCAACCTGATATAACTGAAGAAAAAACATTTCATCAATTGGTTTGTCTCGGTATTTTGAGAGTGAGTTGAAGAAGTTTCTAATTTCTTTAGGTCCAGATCTCTAGTCAATACACATTTTTGGTACTAAATTATTGAGATCCTTTTGAACAGGGGTGTCAAACTCAAGGCCCATGGTGCTTAGATCTGGCCTGCGGGGCCGCCATGGATACAGAAAAGGACCAGCCAATTGGTGCCTCTGCCAGCAAAAATGGAGCTCAGGAGGGCCGTATGTGGTCCCCTGGGCCCCATTTTTAGCCACAACAGCCTCCTGCAGCCCTCTGCCAGTGAAAATGGGCCCTGTTTTCACTTGTAGAGGGATGCAGGAGGATGTCACAGGCAAAAATGGGGCCTGGGGTCCCCCTGCATATGCCTCCCCCCCCCGAGCTCCATTTTCGCTGCAGAGGGCTAACAAAGCAAACTAAAAACAAAACAAAAGGAGAAATGTTTCCCCTT